AAGGGTAGAAATTTAATTAATTAAATTAGATTAAATTTACCTGGGCGTGGGCCCCATGTCCAGCTTCAGTTTCAGTTTCAGTTGTTCCGGAGCTCTCACCGGTACCGGAGTGTGGGCGCAGGATAATGTAGAATCGCTGCACGTCATCAGGGCTATGCGCCTCTTGCTTCTCAACTTTAGGCCTGTAGAAGAAGAATATTTCTCCCCTCTCCTGAAATTTTAATTAATTAATGTTAAAATTTTGTTCAAACCAAAATGAATATTTGAACACAGAATATAAATAATTAGAATCCAATATATATTGTGCTTGTGCATGCTGGTTGGTTAGGTTAATTAGAGAATATTTGAACACACCTGTATTTGAACAGATCCAGGTTGGGCATCTGTGTCGAATTGTTGGCGCTCTCCCATCTCCGCTAATTTATTTGTTTCGATGGCCGAATCTCCTGTTTTTGTAGGTTGCCAATTTTACTTTCCTTTTTGTTTTTTGCCACACTCATGCCCAAGCGACACGATGACTGCCACGACACAGACTTCCTCGCCATGTGGAACACAAACAAAATTACACCTAATTTTTTCTCAAAATATTTATCTTCAACTTCGGTACATTTTTCAGTACTTGAAACGTGTCTATTTTCCAAACATTATGATAAACAGATTCTTTTTTCTTTTTTCTTTTTTTTTTTTTACAGACTGATAAATAGGGTAGCCTGAATCCGCCAAGACAGTTTAGAAGGAACAGAAAGTTGACACAGCCTATAACGTACATTTTAAAGATAAATTCCTTCATCGCTTTTTTTAATTGTTTATTAAAAAAATATAACCAAAGTCTATGCACGGTAGTAAGGTTGTTTAGCTTCTTTTCTTTCCCACCGAATATTTAAACAAAAGATTTAATCCTACTCATTCTAAATCTCCCTCATTCAAAACAGAATAAGAATATATAATTATTTCTTCAATTTCAAAACTACAAGACTTGAAATCATCTCTTAATCTAATAATTTGACAAACTTAAAAAGTCAGAGGATATATACGCTACAAGGTTCGGATATTACAAGTGTAAATATAAATGTTGAGAATTAAGAAGGATTGTCGTGGGGTAAAAATCTTCTTCAAGTACTGTAATATTGGTGCACCATAATTTTATTTACCTAAACCAAATTAAAAAGATTTTGAATATTTAAATAAAAAATATAATAATAAATAAAAGATTTAAAAAATATTGTTCTCTCAGGTAGGAAAAGATTCTAATATATCTCGCAGTCTCTCCCAAGTAAATTACGCCTAATCTCTAATCTCAAACAAAATAATTAGAAAACTAGCGAAATTAGGAATTAAATTAATAATATAATTGCAAGACATCACTATGTCTGCATCAGTACTCTTAACTTCTTCAAAGTTGCATCACGGGATAATGACCAAAATAATTGTTCTTTTTCAAATAACTAAGACATTTTAAAACTTCAGTTCAAAAACAAAAATTAAATTTAAACCTTTGAGTTGAACTACCCAAAATCAAATAGAAAGAATCACATAAAATTATCGTTTCGATCTTATGCCGAAAACAACCAATATTTCTTACACATTAACATGCGCAAACTAACACAATTAAAACCCTTACTAAAGCATACCATTAATATTCCACAACTCCACATATACTTGTGGTTTGCAACAGCCAACAGCCTACTATTCTCGAAATTCTTTCAACTGAAACACAGCTTAGGAAATGGATACTTACAGAAAGACTGAGAGGCTAAACTTTCCAGCAACCAATGTTGACAGTACTTGTTTCTTTAATCGCAACTCAATCTGTACCTTTCAATTCCATGCTTACTGCACACCACTTTAGAAACTAAAACTCAAACAACTGTACCGCCCATTTAATGAACTTTTTCTTTATTCCTAGATCTCCATTTCCTATCCAATCTTTTTAAAAGAAAAGTTGAAAGTATATTTTAGTAAAGACCATTTCTTATTTTTGTTCTCTAAACTCCAGCAAAAGAGAAGGAAAGAAAAGTACCATATTGCAGACAAGAAATGAGTGGAAAAGGGAGAATAAGGAGAGAAAAAGATCATTCATCAAGCCGACCTATGAATTTAGGTTCTTAATACATGGAACGGTGGTGGGTCAGCAGTTAATAGGCCAAATCTTACCAATTTCTTACATCTTGTGATCAAAAGTCTCCAAAATGATGATATGAAGAATTTGTGTCCAATAACCTCAGACTGTATGCCCTATGAAGACTGCAAGAAAACTACTCCACTAACAGCTAGAAATAATTTCAGTAATGAGTACAACCATACCTCTCAAAAGTATTGTCAACATAACCTTGTGGTGGTCATTATAAAATCATTAGAGAAGATACAGCCAAACTGCACTCAAAATAGAGGAAGAAAAACAGGACATGAACCTGTACTTTCACTTCCATTGGATCCACAGCAAGAACTGTTTAGTACCGATCACGGCGCCTGCACAAAGCATGAAAATCCATAAGAATTGAGGGGGGGAAACGATATAAACGGAAAAATAATAAATTAATTGTGATACAATGCTAAAAAGAAGAACCAGTCATCATATCCATGTGGTTTTTAAAATTTAATAAAGAATAAATATAAATCTTTAATTTCTAATCAGAAATCCAACCAAATTGAATAATGGCTCCAAACCATACAGATGCAACAGGTAGGGGACAATGAGAATGGAATACAAGAATAGTATCCCTAAGAAAACGTGCTCCTTGGCAGTTCTTAGTAAAATTTATTAGATGGCAAATGATATAAAATCTGTATTAAAGAAATTGTAAGATTCTGAATCACCATCTTTTAACCATGAATATTCAGGCCAACTTATGTGCATATCAATTTATCTCATAGAATACTATTTGACCCTAACATTAGGTATTGAGAAACTTGTAAAATAAATAGCATTCTTGACAGGTGTGGTAAATATGATTTGAACCCAAGGAGATTTGGAATCACCATGTTATAATCTCAATTTCTAAGGGATGTAGATAACTAGTTATCGAGACTGTTCAACACCCTCCAAAAGAAACTGCAAATATTTGCATTAGATGTTTATGAACTACCAACGAGACATTTCCTCAACAGATGTGACATACGAATGACAACAAAAGAAATCACACAAGATACATAGCACAACAAGTTCTGATAAAGTCATTAAACAGTACTTGTGACGATCATAGTCCCTTGAACGTTCACGGTCTGCTGATCGTGAGCGTGAACGTCGACGACTTCTAGAATCATAAGTGCGATCTGAATCCCTATTGCGTTCTCGGTCATAACGATCACGATCATGATATCTATCACGATCTCGGCTCCTACGATCATTATCCCTTCCACGGTCACGACTATCACCACGGTCCCGGTCTCTACTCGGTTCTCTATCAGGTTCTTTACTGCGCTCCTTTGATCTAAAAGAGAGCAGCTGGATAATGAATAACATACAAGTATATAAAAAACAACTTTAGTTATAATAACAACATTTACCGTCGATCATCATGCCGATCAACCTTGCGACTTTTGTTTCTTTCTTCCTAACAAGGTAGCAACAAGAAAGACAATTGAAACCACACAAAATGTTGATTTAATGGAACATCATATCATGTCGATAGCACAAGGCATCATAAACTAACAATCATCAGCACTTATAATCTCAAACCATAAACCTCTAAGGAGCCATAAGGTTCGGTTGTATGCTCCTGGGAATATGATGTTTCAGAATCAAATTTGTGTTTGATAGTGAACAAAAATGTTATCAGATTAATGTACGAATWAATGATGTATGTATTTGTTTTCTAGGATTATTCTTTTCTTATGAAGTTGATGTAATTGTAAGACATTAATTAATAAAAATAAATAAAATTAACTCCAAACAGTTAATAAATTTAAATAAATGAAGTTTGACAAATATATTAATTTTAAGTTATATAAATAAATTAATTCTAATTAATAACCTAATTTTTTATTAAGTTCAATTAATAAATCAATTTTAACAACTATGATCTAATTAATTATCAAATAATTATAATTAATAAAGATTGATGATAAATTATTTACCTGTAGTATTAAATCGTGATCATTAAGAGTATCTAATTAATAAATTAATTTTAAATAATATGTTGGAATTAAAATTAATTAATTAAGTCAAATTATCAAATTAGTTTTAATTAATAAAATTTTAATTAACTTATTTTAAATTTTATTTCACCGTCATTAGTCTGTGTAAATTTATTAATTAATTTAAATTTAATTAAAAATATATGACTAAAAATTTTTATAAGAAAACAAGTGATTAACAGAATCCCAAAACTCTTCAAGACTAGAATAAAAGACTTTGAAGACCCTCTGATTCCTCTCAAAACCAAATCCTCCCTGATGTACATAACTGCATTTGCCCACAAAACACTAGCTTGTCCTCTGAACGAGTTTCCAAGAGCCTCATCATTCCTATTCTAGAAGCACCAAAGAATGCCAAAGAGATAGCCCACACAATGGAATAAGAGGTGCTGATGATTTTCCATCCCCCCAAGCATAATGATCTTTAAAGATGCGGACCAAGGCCAGAGTCGATGACATGGAGTGCATAATAAAAAATAATTCAAGGATGAGTTAGGATTTACTACATGGAATACATCAGAATAATCTAAAATTTCGGAACATGGGTAGGAGACAAGGTTTTGGAAAATATCCCTTTCCTCTGGCCTAAAGAGATGGTGCAATCAGTCAGTCTGGCCTCCATATAATAGATCGCTTTGCTTTAGAGATAGGGCAATCAGTCAATCGTAGGTGTGGGTCTCAACATATTTCCCATCTAACTCCATGAGACACTTAACTAATATCATAACATAACATTTGATAACAAAATATAGATTTCCTAGGCAGTTGGCCACTAAAACTTGCACCCCTGCTCTCAAAATCAATTAGAGTTTGAAATTTTTAACACCATTAAGTTATACTTATAGTTCAACTGACATGTGGGTGGAAACTTGAACCTCTAACCTAGGTTAGAATAAATGTCTTAACCAATTGAGCTATGCTTTGATTGGCGTTATACTTTTATGAATGGAAGAATTTCATATTCCAATTTATTCATTCATAAAAAATCAGGTTTCTGCGGAGTTTACCTCCTACCAAGGTTTTACTGCAAGAGCAAGTTCTTCTTACAGAGAAAATTACTGTAGGATAATTTTAGGGTAACATGGATTTTATCCTCAGTTTTGTTAACTGCAGCTATTCTGTTAGATGTATTAGTTTGGAGGTTATTTGTTCATTACTTAGCTTACCTATTAAGGAGAGTTTTCACTTGTATTACGTAGTTTTTTGACGTCATTCTAATAAAGATTTCTCGAAGGCTAGTTCCCATCTTATTGAACCAGGCTAAGCCCAATGGCTAGCACTACGAAAACACCAGCAACCAGAAACTTGCATATACTTTGTGGTTTAGGAACTCAACAAATGTCATTCAAAAAATAGACACCAGTGGAACTTATCATATTACGTGACCCTCAAAATAAGATCCAGCTCACTGCAGTCTGGCATTCAGTCCATAACACACCTAACACTTCACCAACCAACCATAAACACACCTTCCAGACAAAGCAGGTTAAATATAGTCTGATCTCTTTTGTTTATTTTTAGCAGCTAGAATGATGCATATGGAACCGGTAATGTAACAGACTAAAATCATCTAACCTGAAGCTCTGCTAACTTTTCACGGATTTGCATGTAGCCAAGGTGAAGCTTTCCTCCAAAATGATCTGCTAAACGACGATCACTGAAAGAGAAAGAAATTAAAATGGCCTAACACTCGCAACAAAAAATTCAAGAATTATCATTTATTTTGAAAATTACAAAAACATGTAATGCATGGTTCCCCATAACATTCTAAGCAACAATAGCATGATCCACAAATATAAACAGAAATAACGCACAGTCTTTAGCTGGAAAAGTTATCCTCGTAAAACTGGGCACAAGAGCCTGCTGGGGAAAAGGAGGTATAATTGTCGGGTCAAAAGCTGAAGCACTAGGAAACCCCAAAGACCAACTTTACATTTTCCTCAGAAAGCTTAGATCATTAAAGTAACCTTTATACGCTTAAAAATGTACCTGTCATATACGCTTAAAAATGCCCCACAAATGTCACACACCCGCAGCTTTTGATCCGTCTGGGTAAATCCAAAAGAAGGTTACTTGGTATGAGATATAAATAAATTTGAAATAAATTTGTATATTTTATGCTTTGATATGGACTGAAGGCCATATTATAAATCTCATGAACACTTCAACATTCTTGCAGCCTGTCACTTCCCAATCGCAACACTCATTTGTTTACTGTCTTGAACCATTTCTTTCAACAATCAACAAATATCGCTGCACAAAACTTCAGACTACTACACTGCAAAATTCTATTTTCACGGATATTCTCATTTTTTTTTCTTTTGAAGTTCTTTCGATTGCCACACAGATTAGAGTAAATAATCAGAATTCAAAATAACAATTCCCTGGAAAAGATGAACGGCTATAGCAAGAACTATATATGAGTAAGTGATTTCAAGGCGCAAGGCACACCTCAAGGTGCAAGCTTCTTTATCGCCTTAAGGCGAGAGGCGATAAAAAAGCGTCGCCTAAGTAAAGTGAGGTGCACTTAATAAAATAATAATTAAATATTATTTATAGTAATTTTGTGGAAAAAATAGAATACTCTGTATGCAAATATTTGTAAAATTATTTATTGCATAAATAAAATTATATTAAATAATTAAACAAATTAAACATATAAGTTTTTTTAAAAATTTAGTAAACATAGTGGTTAAATATGGTTAAATAGAAAGATGTTAAAACATTTATACTTAAATTAAACAAAAATTAAATCATACTTTGACATCACTTTCTCATAAAGAAAAAGAAAAACACTTCAATGAAAATAGTGAGTGCTTAGTGACATTCGGAAGTTTTGCCACCACATGGCAATTTTATTGCATGTGAGTCTAGCACTAACACTCCTTTGAACAGCTTGGCGGCCGCTTTTGTCGCCATGCAAGAATGGTATGACGACAAAAAAGCAAATGAGGCGAGCGCCTTATTGAACCTACTCGCCTTGATTATTGCTAAGGCGACTAAGTTCCTCCTCGCCTCGCCTCTCGCCCAAGGCGAGCGCCTTGGGTCGCCTTGAAAACACTGATATGAGTCTTCTCTAGAGAGCTTCCAATGATCCTCTTCAGAGAGCTTTCAGTGGCCCTCTAGAGAGGAATCTCTAGTTTCATCCTAGCATCATGATATCTTGGAACTATCATAAAGACATTGCTCAAAGACAACAAGATCTTTATTAAAGAAGTTGGAGGTAAGGAAAGTAGAGCTACTTTGTTGGAGGAAAGCACATAAATACACATATCGTAAGTAGTTAATGGATGTAGGTAAGGCGAGCGCCTTGGGTCACCTTGAAAACACTGATATGAGTCTTCTCTAGAGAGCTTCCAATGATCCTCTTCAGAGAGTTTTCACTGGCCCTCTCCAGAGGAATCTCTAGTTTCATCCTAGCATCATGATATCTTGGAATTATGAGATAGACATTGCTCAAAGACAACAAGATCTTTATTAAAGAAGTTGGAGGTAGGGAAAGTATATCTTGGAATTATCAGATAGACATTGCTCAAAGACAACAAGATCTTTATTAAAGAAGTTGGAGGTAGGGAAAGTAGAGCTACTTTGTTGGAGCAAAGCACATAAATACACATATCGTAAGTAGTTAGTGGATGTAGGAGTTCCCTTTTCCTTCCCCCAAAGGATTTTCAAAAAATACCTGGACCAAATAGAAAGGTGGCTTTTAGAAAAAGAGCCATAGTAAGTCTTAAGCTTCACAATGATAGTAGGAAAATCATTTGAAGTGGAAGATACCACACATAGCCCTGTACCCTAACTGCTGCCACATGTGCTACCAAGAGACAGAAACACAAGGTCGTCTCTTCATAACTTGCGGCTTCTCCTCCTTGTTTTGGAGTAGAATGCTCGGGACTTTCGGATGGCATACAGTCTTATACAATATTCCTCCATATTTCTTAGCTCTTTGCTGACTGGTAATCCTTTTAAGAATAAGGGGGAATCTAATGAGAACATTTCGTCCGAGCTTTTTTATGGAGCCTTTAGTTGGAAACAAAATAATCTTCAACACCACATCTCTCCCTTTTGAGGTTTTGTATAGGATTATTTGTTTTAGCTCTTGGATGGTGTAAATGTATTTATTCCTCCTTCAAATAGCTACTCTCTAAATGCCCTTGCCTCTAATCGGAAGACTTTCTTGTAATTAGCCATCATGGCTTTTGGTTACTTCATACCATCAACTAAATACTTGTTTCTTGCCCAAAAAAAAAAGGAAAGACATTTGAAGTAGATGGAGAAAGGTGTGGAGCAATTTGAAGTAGATTGAAGGATATATGCAATCAAAATCTTTGAATTAGCTTCAGGCTTTTCACTTATTTGTCAATGGTTTCCTTCCCTCATCTATTGGTTGAGACTCTTACAATTATTCGAAATTGACTAAGTCCCACCAATCTCAACCTATGGTACTACTATGTTACTTGCTCCCTGTTAATTTTAATCTTAACAACAAAGCTTCAATTCTTTATCCCAATGCAGTTAGATCTTCCTTCAGGTCTATAGTTCGGTCTACTTCACTCTAGAGTTCATCTTCATAAGCTTTTCTTTCATAACTATTCTCCTTCCTTCACGACCTACAATTAGAAAGCCTTTTTTCTTTGTAACCATTATGGTATATTCCATTAACATCAACGAATACTTGTTTCCTTAAATCTAATTTAAAAAATGCTGCTCATTTGGAGCAAAGTAGCGTGGCTATATTCTTCTCTTGTTCTCGCAGTTATTGGTCTGGGTGAAATCCTTAGGTTGATTCTTGTATCGTCACCAATATTGGGGAAAATTTTTGCTCAACTCTTGAAATGGAAGCATTCATTATTGTCTAAAGGATGTAGGCTGACATTGTGATACATCCTAGTCAAAATTGCTAATTCAGTTGAGAAGATTCCAACGAACTTTCTTCAAGAAGGGTGCAGCAATAGAAAAGTGCTAGGAATGGCCTTTGGGGATAATTAGAGTTATTAATAGAATAGAAACTGTAGGTTAGTAATTAAATAGAGAAGTTGTTAGGGAGAGTTGTTATAAATAGAGTGAGAATGAAAGGACAAACTTAGGCAATTGTTCAGTGTGATTTAGGCTGGAGTGATCTCGAGAAGAAAAGGTCCAAGTACCTCGAATGACTTGAGGATTATTGTAATCCTTCTATCATTTCCTTCTCGCTCTATTTATAGCAACTCTTCCTTACAACTTCTAGTAACATGCCCTAACTATTCTGACAACTTCCCTATCTAATTACTAACATATCTTTATTATTCTATTGATACCCCTAATTACTCCCCCAAAGGTCATTCCTATCAAAAAGGTGGGATTTAGTTAAAGGGAAATTTTTCTCTCTTCCCACTAGTAGGGGAGGTCAATTGATAGGCAATCTAATTCACAGAAACGCTACTTTACTGGCCAAATGGCTTTGGTGAAGATCCCTTGAAAAGAAATGCTTTGTGGTATAAGGTTATGGCAAGAAATACCAAATTCAGTGGTTGGGGCCTGGGATCAACATACTGTTCTCATCAATGAAAAAACCTAAACTGAACTCCGGCAGAAGACATTTTATTTCATCAATAGGAAGTACAGTACATATGAAGAAACCTCAAACTGGAATCTGACGGAAGACGAGTATGGTATATGTTAGGGAAATTTTTGGGTCACTAGGTCCCAAGTGAACTTATTATGAAATCCAATGAAAATTTAAAATTAAAGAGAGTGAGAGAGAGAGGAGAGATTTAACTTCGTGCATGTATTTTTCCCCTTGACAAAAATAAATAAATAAAACAACTCCCCGTAAAACAGTGACTTATTTTAGATATTGGAGCGGAAATAAGAAACTAACTAACTTGCATTTCATTTGAAGCTTATTCTTATTCACTCCAGCTACAATATTTTTCCAGTCATCTGGAAACCGCTCATTTATGGTATAAACTTCTCAAGAAAAGAAACATAAATATGTGAATGTTAGCCTAACTTTTGCTAATCAGAATATAGATGCATAATTTAAACTTCTCAAAGATAAACTTCCCATTCTAGGAGCAGTCACAAACAAGCCCAATGTATACAAAAGAGACTGCATCCTAATACTATTAAACAAGCACATCCACAAATTGAGATGTGAAACACACCAAATATGAAATAGTGTCAATAGTTCCACCATGGCATGAATAAGTAGAATTATTTTACATGATTCATAGTTTAAATACTAAATTTGCTTTTTTCGTGAAAGAAAGAAATCATGTTTTGCCAAATACATGAGAAGGGTTCAAGAAAAAGGATCTCACAATTCGCACATCAGCAGCAGTGTATTTGGACGAATCCACCACCGGCTCCTGCCTAGCAGGCAGCTGAACAAAAATATACTGCTATTAATAAGATACTCCAGAAATACAAATACATATATATATATATTAAATTTTTTAAGAAAAGTATATATACTTGTAAGTATAAAACATTAATTGACTCTCTCTCTGCTAACAAGTGAGGGACGAACCTTCTTAAGTGCTTCAGCTTCCTCCAGCGCTTTTTGAGCCTCGTCGATCATTCCTTGCTCACCTGAAAAAAGGAGAGAACACTATCAGTTAAAACCAATGTTTAGCAGAGGTATGAAAAATGAACTTCTAATACCCATTCAACAGAAACAAGCTGACGAGACATGCTGACAACTATTACTCCTACTCAAACAATTACACATCAATTATTATCAATCATTACACAAAAAACATGATAAGATGAATAAACCCCAACAGTTACAATTTATGACATACTTCGAGCACACAAAGCAGCTACTCATAAAACAAGTACACAATATAACCCGTGTCTATTGAACAAGACTTACCAAGTTCCTCAGCCTTTTTCAACTTCTCATTAATCATCTCCTGTGTACGAGGATCAGAAGCCACAACAGGTAAAGGAGCTAGAGGTGGTGGGTTTGGCAGAGGTTGAGGTAAAGATGCCCTATCTTTATTAAAAGCATCTAAAAGAAGCATGGACTGTTAAAAAGTACACATTTAAAAGTTAGACAACACATACTCACGTTGAATGTTAATAGAACAAAAATAAGAATCATGTAACATCTACCAGGTAAAACTATAAGCATATAGATGGAAGGTTCAACCATTTTTCATCAAAGTATGTACCTGTTTGTCAGCTCGTTGAGTCCTCAATTCTTCTACAACCTCTAAAACTCGAATTTTAAGATCTGTCTTGCCCTCAAGATCTGCAATATTTGAGACCACAACTTCTCAATGGACCTTCAAAAAGTAAGGATCATAAACTAGAAGAGAAGCCATCAATTAAAGTAAAAACAACTTTAGAATCTCTAATACCTAATAAACCTACCCAAAAATAGAGAGGGAAAATAAGAGAGAAATAAATCTCAGCAGAGACATTTTACAAGTTTTGCATGTGTGCATGCAGCACACTACTATGAATTGAATAAACGAAAAAAGACAATACCTTTAAACATAAGGCATAATGTACGGGCTCTTCAACATTACAAGGTGCTTAGCATAACTTTTGAACTAATGAAAGTGCTTCTAAACTAAATTTAAGAACATTAAACGATTTAAAATTTTCGGCTACATGGCAAAATTTTCTTTTGAAAGTTTTAGAAGCACACAGAGTTTTTATAGAGTGGCTAATTAATATTTTTCTTCCAAAGGTGCTTCATTTTTTAACACACATCATAAAATTTTCATTGAAATAATGGGCAAAGATCCAACACACCTCTTCCTAAACTGCCCTTTTGTTGCTGATTGTTGGGCGAATTTGTTTAATACTTTCAACCTCCACTGGGTCTTCCCTAGCAATGCTTCAGAAGCCTTTGTACAACTCATATTGGGGACAGGTTCTAAAGGTCAAGCGAATAACCTTTGGTTTAATGCGATTGTAGGTCTGCTGTGGAAAGTGTGGCCCAAAAGAAACAAAAGGACCTTCCATGAAGATGAAACGGATAGAGCTATCTTTTGGGATCTTGTAAAAAAATTGTATCTTCTTGGTCTTAACCTTTTTGAAACTATGGAGTGATGCAAATCTTTGTCAATTAGGAGTCTTTTTCTTGTAAAAAATTGGCTTGTGGGGATATCTCATCTCCCCTTTTTGTATACCAAGTTGCCACTTGTATCTAGTTAGTAGTTAGCTCCACCCTTTCCTCCCAAAGGGAAACTTTCATCCAATCCATATTCTCCAAGACAATTCCCAAGCCCATCTAGGGAATTTTCCTATAGCTCTTTTTTCACCTGTTAAGTGTCCCCTCTCCTCCCCTTTCCGCCCCGTTGTTTCCCTCGAGTTAGAAAATTCCAAAAAAAGAAAGGAAAAAAAAAACCACATGGCAGGCCTTATTTGGGAAAGTCAACACCTAAGATCATATTCAAAGGCATTCTCCCTTCTTTTTGGGGTTGGGGCCGCACTAGTGTGTGCTCTGCAGAAGTACCTCGAAGGATCTTGACCACATTTTATGAAGATGAGAGCTTGCTGAAAATATTTGACGTTGATTATTTGAGTTGTTTGGAGTATTTTGGACTCATAACAAGGACTGGCATTGATAGAGAGATTTTAATGTTCCCTCCTTTTTGTAATAAGGGAAAGTTTATGGGGCAGACTTGCTTTTCTGCTATTTTGTTGGAGATTTGGCTTGAGAGAAACAATAAAATTTTTAAAGGAGTTGAGAGATCCAGACAGGATAAATGAGAGCTTATTAGATTTAATACCTCCCTCTGGGTCTAGCCCCAATGTCTTTTGTAATTTTCAGTGGGGTGTTATTCTTTTTTATTTGAACTTCTTTCTCTAGGTGGGCCTCCTTTTGTTAGGCTGGATTCAGTATACCAACCAAGATCTTCTTTCTCATAAATACTATACTTTAACTTTATACCATAGTTCATTCGACCTGGGAAATCTCTCCCTAACCATTTGGTTTGGCAGATACTGCTCCATATTTATAAAATTGCCAACTCCCGAACTGCCACTAAAATGTTTGGATGAATTGCTTTGCTCCAACTAGACGCCTTAATCTCTTTGCTTTGCTACCAACCCAAAAAACCCTAAGTTTCTTTCAGTTCCATTCCAATAGCAACCTCTCTTAGAATTTGGAAAACAAAACTATTATATATAGGAAGGTTTGAAGCTCATCCTACACTGCATAAGTTCATCCTACCCCTAGACAAACAAAACTATTTCCATCTATCAATTTTTCTCGAGATCTAATCTACAGCACGGTTCTAAAACTCATATCTTTTTTTAATTTCCTCCCACAGGCATCGCATCCCCAAGTATGAAAAAGGAAGATACTTATACTTCCACACCACACTTTTTGTGCCAGCACAAAATTCAAATAGCCTTTCCAAATTAAAAATTAACTCCACCCCAATGAGGATTTTTTTAGATCAATTCGCTTTTAGCTCAAAAGCAGCCTAAAAAAATATTCATCCTCTTTCCAATAAAGAATAATACCGTTTGAAAATGGAAAAATCTTTGCTGATAAAAGGGTTGGAGGTCGGATGTCAAAAGCAAATTTTGATATTGCTTCTAGTGGCAATTGAAAAGGTTTATACCGCCCCTGGAAAGATATTGCTAAACAAAGACTTTCTTGGAGAAGAACTCTTGCTATAAGCTGGTAAGGGTGATAAAATATCTTCTTGGGATGATGGTTGGTTAGAACCCCAGCTGCTCAGCTATCTCTCTTTCCCACGATATACAGAATTTCAGGCAGTGTTTTCAAGGCGCAAGGCGCACCTCAAGGCGACGAGCCTCGTTATCGCCTTAAAGCGAGAGGCGACAAAAAGGCGTCGTCTGAGTGAAGTGAGGCGCACTTAATAAAATAATAAATAAATATTATATATAGCAATTTTATGTATTAAAAATAAAAATATTTATAAATCTATTTAATGTACAAATAAATTTTAACTTAAATAATTAAGTAAAATAAAAAAAAATTTAATTTAATAAGATATTAATAAAATTAGTGGTTAAATAGAATACTAAAATTAAATAAAACTTAAATCATAAATTAACTTAAATAAAAGAATTTATTTCACTCTTGCCTGCCAGATGGCAAAGTAAATGCAAGATGGCAAAGTAATTGCATGCAATTAGTGCCTTGAAAACCTAAAAGGGAA